TCAAAGCCCATATTTGCTTCATTGTGGGAAAACTAGGCACACATTATACTGCAGCACTGTGTTTTCTAGAAAAAAGTAATCAAAGATCTCAAATCATTCGTTGCCAACTTTCAACTACCATATGTGAACATAGGCCATTAATCAAAGGACTGCAATGATACAAAGGACAATCCTAATATGAAACTGGAATAAGCTTTTTACCTGTGTTTTCTGCAGAAAATTTGCACTTAAAATATTTGAAGTAGATGAAACATTTAAAGCTGTAAGCGAAGTTATAGGCTAAATAACACTGAAGGACACTGAATTAGCTGTTAAAACAGAAGTGCTGGAAGAGGCTGACATTTCAGCTTTAGGTTAAGGTTTTTGCAAGTCTACTGAAAACCTGTTTTGCTTGTTGTAAATGTTCCTCCATCTCCAAAAAAGTATTCTAAAGTTTATCTGAAACTAAACTTGGGCTGCTTAGCCTGAGTTAGACAAATCAAATTATCTTTAAAAGATTTTTTTTTTACCTTCCTTCTTTTTGTTACCTTGGACAGCAGGTCCATTGAGTGAAATGAGAAGCTAGGAATGTTATTTAAAAAAAAAAAGACAAACTTTGTGTGTGTTTGTTGGGGCAGGGGGTTGATTGCACTTGATTTGTCTAATATATACTGTCCCACATTAGTGTTAGACAAACTTTCAAATACATTTTTCAAAAACTGTAGATTGTGTCCTCCATCATGTCTTTGGAGATTGTCATTCATCCAGGTCTGGGTATATACTAGGTGCTAAAGTGGGCAACTGGACTTGCTTGAGCTTCTAGAAGACATTTTATCCATGCAAGGACCGATGATACATCTTTATCTGCAGTACTTGCACAGTGCAACCATATTCTCTGCAATGTTTATGTCCTACATATGTATATATGCATAATGCTTCTCCATTTACATATAAAGATATCCAATTATACTTTCCCTCTTTGTAACGCTCAGCTAAGCTGAATTTGCAATTCACCTCCACACTCTGCACTTCATATACATTAGCCACCATGTCACACTTGTACACAGACATACAAAAATACTTTCATACACATACATGCCCTCATATGCATACTTAGATTCTATTTAGTACCTAATGCCTACATTGTGCTTACACTAACTAATCTACCCTTGGTTGGGAGTTGATATTAATGTTTTACTTGTTAATGCTTCATTTATTCTAGATTGTTGTTTGTTTGTTTTTTTGCTGCTGTCAAAGTGCCATAAAATTTCATTCTTTTGAATACAATGACAATAAAATGTCTTGTCATATCTTAACATCTCATAGAGAAGCTTCTTCACTTCTGTGTGAGGTCCTTGGTCTTTATCCTCTTTGGAGCCGTTAACATCGTGGTCTCTGCACCATCCAGCCATCCTGTAGGTCGTTAAGTTCACATGAATCAAGTTGTGGACGGGTGTTAAACTGTCTTGGGAGGGATGTCAGGACTGCATTGTCCCCCATCATTTTCATTGATCCCATGCAATTCACCCCATGAAACTGTCAATAGAGGTGTTAGCACTGAAAGTGATTCAAGATTCAGTTGAAGGCTAATCAATGAAAAGGGAAGTCCTGAAAGAAATTTGTGCAAAATGAAAAGGAAGTGTTGGTATCCCAAGATGGTCACTCTTCCCTAGTCATGACCAGGCCCACATTCTTCTCCTCCCCCTCTTCTTCATGTCTGGATTTTTCCAGACACATAAAAACCATTACAGCTCAGCTTTTGCTTAGCTTCATTGTATACAACTACTCATGCTGTTGACATTTATTGACTTTTCGGTAGGCATTAGCACCATATAGCTTGCACACATCAAAATTGATGTCGCACCAAAGTTTATTAAATCCATGTCGTACAGTGTGGCTTAAAATATTTATAAGATTGCTGCCAGCTGCCATAAGTCTTTAACTGTAGAATATAAACTCTCCTCAGTTGCTTAAGTCCCCAAACTCCTTGACTTTATAAACCTCAGTTGATGCTACAGCCCTGGTTGTGGGCCTTTAAGGCAAATCCAGTTGTCATTTGTCACAGTCACTATCAGTACCACATTTGTGATTTTTACATCCCTATTCATTTATCCTTCAAGCAACACATTCTAATGTGACAAATACCCTTTTTTAAGTCTGCCACAATGCAAGTGAAAATTTCTTTGAGTGTGTGCATTCTTAAGAGATGCTAAATCCCACTTTGAAGAGTAAACGGCTTTGCTTTGAAGCACCAGAGAATGATATGCACCAGTATAGCCTGTGGGGAATTACTGTGCGGAAATACTCACTCCAGATTAGACAGTGACAATTGATCAAAACAGACTAAGTAATGTATGTGTTTTACATATATTAATTTCCATATCAAATATTAATTAAAATAAATGTATTTGTTTTTCAAATGAGCACAAGGCTATCAAATATTTCAGACACATCTCATTAAAGATAGAGCCAAGAGCGAACATGCATTTCTAAAGGGCCACGATTAACAGTGGCATTTCACAAAGCTGGCTTCTCAGTATTGTGGCCTATGTCAGCTATGCAGAGGCCTCAGGATTGACAGCAATCAAGGTCTTCTTTTAGAGAAGAATCTAAACCTCCTGGCCCTCATCCATTTATAGCAGACAAAAATAGTCTTGCACCCTTGATGTCCAGTTAAAAACTCTTCACATAGCTTTTTAAGAGAGTTAAGAGAAGCTTTGGCCCAGTGAATTAGCAGGATAAATGTAAACTACACAGCCAGCATTATCACAATTACACTGATGCCTTTAGTGAAATCTTCTGCAGGGAATATTCTCAGGTCCATGCAGAACCTCTTAAACCTGTTTGTTATTCACACAGGCACAGAGAAAAAGTAATGGTGCAAATGCTGTAATGATCTAACAAATGCCTATTAGACAGCAAGTGATTGTTATAATTAATTAATTAGGCTATTCATAGCAACCTGCATCATTGGGTCCAGTATTTTAAGTGTCAAATCACTGTGGATGTGTGGTGCTTGTGTGTTGTTCTTATCCCTACTGAATACCTTATTCAAATACTCACAATGTAGTCTGGAAAAAGTATAGGAACCCCTAAAGACATCAAAGCAACTGGAGTTAGAGACAACAAAAGACTTATGATCAACAACTGTTGATTTGCATAAACCTGGAAAGGATTAGGAAGATATTAGTTATTCATCAGTCCACAGTTAGACAAACTGGAAATAATTTACTGCTGTGGCTACTCTCCCTAGAAGTGGGTGCCCAGGTAAGATGACTCCAAAGGCACGTAACAGGTAAAGGCCTAAAGGGATCAAGTCTACCAAATAACGAATCATGGCACATTGTTGCAGCACTGCCAATGGTCAATGATGGATAAAGGGGGTCCTTAGTTGCAGGCCTTACCAGGGAAAAGTAATTTACTGTTATGTGTTATAGTGTTCTAGGAATATAACAGTCCACACGCACACACTGGGGGTACAGTGGCAAATTCAAATGCACATCTACCGACACACAGTGAGGCAGCCTTCATTATGTATAGCGTTTAGCTTAAAGCAGCAGGTGCAACAGCGGCAGCAGTAGACCACTCTTTTTTATTCCCCAAAAGTCACTATATCGTAACAGGAACACAAATCTAATGAATAGTGCAATACTAAAGAATTTAAAACGCAAAAACGCAGCAGTGTAAGGTAGCCTACTAATGGCAGCAATGCCTTCATAAACGCATGCTCTGTACCTTTTCTTCCTGGCAGAGAAGGCCATAATGAGGCTGGTAAGATCTAATTTGTGCTGAATATCACGTTCAGTGGATATCACAGACAAGTGATTCAATCGGTTTTGGCCCAGTGTGTACTTCGATCTATTTTTAAAGAGTCCAGGTTTTGAAAAAGAGCGTTCCCCTGTAGCACTGGTCCCAGGTAAAGTCATAAATATGAATGCACTTCAGCCCATGGAAAAGTATTTACCATCAATTCATCAGATCCTGACAGCCTGCAGCTGTAATTGTCATTGCAGTCAAGCTTTCATAAAGCCTCTCACTTGGAACACTTAATACAAAGTTGGACTTCCATCAGAGGCCTTAAAGCAGGCCATGTCTCACTGAACTATTAACACAAGCTAATTTGTTTGGGGTTCTGATGCATTGACAGTGACAATAACTGCATACTGCCTCACTGTCACTGCTTATACAAGAAAACCAAATGTCATTGTCAATTTTTTCATGTGATTTTGTTATTAAATATTCTAAATGTGTGAATATTGATTTTTTACATCATTCACTGTTTTATAGGCTGCAGTAGAAAAAGACCGCATGCCTTTGACTGCAAACACATTTTGTTGTAAATTCCAATTATTGACTGTCCATGATCCATTTCTACTTAACGGTGTTGAACATTTTAGTACCCACTGCCAAGGCTTTGACTTGCTTTTGCCATGACATGATTTAAACAGCAGAGGGGGCACCAACTTGGTTCAGGTAATGGCTGGAGTCATGATTACCAGCTGCGGTTGTGAGTCATTTCTTCGTACCACAGTGCTCTGTGCCTTCCACGTAGTGCTGAGTCATTCTCCACTGGGGTAAGGATATGTAGAGCGGGTTATGACTGACTTGCCAAATGAGAACACACTCTGGGAAACAACGGGCATGTTTATTACCAAGTGAAGGTGACAGCATTAAAGCTGTGTCCAAAACAGGATTAAAAAAAAAAAAGACATTCTGTTGTGAGGACTGATAATTCTGACTTTTGTGCATATAGTACCAATTCTTATTTTGAAGTAGATTAACAAAGATTTCTAGTTCAATAAAAAGAGCACCGGCTAGCCTAAACAAATGTGTCCATGTATCCAGCAATATTGCCTAAGGGCGCTCAAAAACAACACACACAAAAGGCACAAAAAAAAAAAAAAAAAAAAAAAAAAAAAGAAAAACATCCATGGCTGTCAAATGCATCCCCTTTACATACACATTACAAAATAACGTTCAAATCAGAGTATTAATATGTGTGAGACAGAAAATGAGACGTGTGCTTTTTATTTCAATTTATTTATCTTTAAAGAACCAATACGAATTAGCGATGTTTTCAAAATGGGTACAATGATAAAAAACTGACCATTTCCCATTCTTCTCCACCTTATCTCTCAAATTGGATCTTAGGCTCTGTGTGCACGAGTTTAAATATGTGTATTTAGGGAAGTCCTATTTCAGCCCCGTTAGGGAGAACTGATGAAAGCAGGAGAAGTACCTGTAGTAGATGTTTTTTCCTGTTTAATTGTTGAATGAGTATATGTATGTGTGTGTGCGTGCATATAGAATGCTCAGCAGGGTTTGGTGGGCTGAGGTGGACTGATTATTGCACTCCAACAAGATGATTCATTTAAAACAAAAAAAAAAAAAAAACAAAACAACATGGCTCTTGAAGGATTAAAAAAAAAAAATCTAAACAAAAAAAGGATAAAGTGTCCTTACCCCTGCCAAACTCATACCTGCCACACATAGCATATCTTGTGAATAAATACTGCAGACATATTTAAACTACGTGAACCCCTAAACTGAATGTATCTTTAAGCAAGTGAAGGTAAACAGGGTACTGCATTTTCAGGTGAACCTTTTGAGTTTTTGTGCCAAAAAAAGATCAAATACCAAAAATGGCCAGTAACAATGCGTTTAAAAATGTTTAAAAGTTACATTATTCTTGCCCAATTATATATCAACAATTAACAGAAATAAAAATCTGCATCTCATTTAACGTTACGCGTTTATCACCATTGAGTAAAAATAAAAATTCACAAAAAGGAAAATGCTATCCCATGATTACATTTTTGAGGGGGCAGGATGGACTCAAAAAAATCTGGCCCGTGGTTGAACAGTATAACCGGGAGGCGGGCCCATCTGTGTGCTTTGACTTTCCGTTCATTGGCTTGGCTGGTGGATCCCCAGATCTGGATTTATGCATTCGATCATTTGCTTGCTCTTTGATCAATTAACCATAACTCAGTGTTGACAAATCATCACAATAATTACTGGTAGCACTCTCTCCATTTTGTTTAAATCTCCCCTTGTTGGAAGATTCCCTACTAGTTGCACATAAGATGCACTGACAGGCAGCCTACTGCACACAGCAGTTGTGGCCGTTGGTATCTTTGAACCGCAGACGCATTTTCGGTCTGTATTTCTCGAGGTAAAGAAGCTGTTTGGAGTTGAAGGCTCCACGTCTCTTCCTATGAAAAGCAAATGGAGAAAAGGTCGGCAGGAAATTAAAACATACATATCCACAAAACAGACAGAACACACTGTAGCAAGCATTACTGTGGTGATTTTAAACAATGATTCCATATTTTAGCAAATACAGTGGCAGATGTTAAGATGCATAAATCTTAAATGTAAGGCTACAGTTAGCAGTTGGTTAGCTTAGCTTACAACAAAGACTGTCAACAGTTTATCAACATTAGCGAACCAAAGAAAAACATGATTTATCTTAACGAACTTCAAATCACAGTTTGGTTAATAACTGTTTTTCCACACACACTACATCTAGTATTTGATCAATTATGTTGACAGCAATAATTTTAACCAACTTTTTTTTATGAACTTTGACTTCCAACACTTGGATAATTTATTAAAACAAACGTTTTTCATCAATATCACTATGTAGCTGGTTGCCAACCACCAGTAAAAATCCACAACAGAAGAATATCACTATGTAATTGTTGCATGTTTATGTCTGCCTTTTTTGGCTTCAGTCACCGGTTGGGTACAGTATACCCCAAACAGTTTTAGAAAATTATGGCCTACTCATTTGCAAAAACAAGTACAGTGTAAATGTTTCCAAAGACCCAAGGCTTTGAAAGCACTGGAGTTCTTCAAATTATCAGAAAGCAAAAAGGTAGTTTGTCATGATTTAATTTTACAAGAGAAAAGACTAAGTGGTTGGTTTTGTGTGTCCAGTTTGTTTGCCTATTGCCATAAAAGTGCAGTGCTCAGCTGTCTCCCAACTGTTTCTGGGAGAGGCATCTGGGACTGTCTCCTTAATACAGAGGAGACAGTCCCAAACGGGGCTGGAGCAACTGAAGATAAAACACAAGTGGTAGTCTGGATGATGAACTGCCAGAAAAGGCAAAAACCACTATTATGTATTCATGTTTATTAATTATAATTAGTAGGGAGAATTTTTTCAATATCTTTTGTCCTTGTGGCTGCTAAACTCACTATTAAAACCAAAAAACCATCTGTGCTTGGATTTCCACTAAGTGTTTAGGGCTTATTCTAACAGTGACTGATAATGTCATTGTGTAGGTACTGTGTTCATACAGTCTGTGGTTTGTGTATGATGTTTGTTGAGACCTTTTTTGGAGGAAGAGCCTTCTGATTAACTGACTAATCAATAAAATGGTTGAAAGATTAATCAATAGAAAAACAGCTGTTGGTGGCAGCGCTACATGCATCCCATTTTTGTTTACAAAAGGCACCATTTAATGACTTAAGGCTCAATCTTTATTAAAACAAAGTAACTGAAGAATAAGGAGGGTACTTACTGCCTTATGAACTGCACAGCATCCTCATACTTCATCCCAGACTCAATGAGGGCTAAGGCCACCAAGACTGGAGCTCTAAGAGGTAAAGAAATCCAGTGGACCAGTTCAAGGAAACAGAAAATCAAAAAAGAGAGAGAATGAGAAGAGAAGATTAAATGCCAAGGTTCACATGGTTCCATAGTATAATGGTGGAGTGAGGGAAGGGGGGTTTAAACCTGGGAAACAGGCCTGGGAAAATCAACAGGGGTACAAAAGTCCAAGGTATCCCTGTTGGGGCACTTTGCTCACATCCTGAGCCTCACACACACCACTGTGATAAGCTGCAGTGAGATAACCTTCTCCTCTATCACCAGATGGGAATTAAAATAAATAAATATAACTTTGCATATCACCAGGCAGGTTGAATCCAACCGTGCATTTGCTTGACAAAGAATAGTATGTGAGAAAGAAAGAACAGAAAATAGAAAGAAAAACTGTTCAATGGTGTGAAAGAAGGAGCACAACACAACAAAGCACATACAGTATCTGCAGCCTCCCACATGCAAGGCCTTTTGAGAATGTTGGCTGGTGTAAAGTAGACCAGATCATAAAGCTATGGTTTTCCTTAGCCTTACAGATGACTACAGTAAACACAGGACAGGAAAGAAAGGGAGATGAATTCAGAAAATGCCTACTGGGAATTACACTACCTCAGAAATGCCATGGAAATGCCAAATGCTGGAAGCCATTGAGAACCGATTGGCTAAATTGTGTGTTTGTGGTCAGGAAAGACATTTTCACACTAGCTCGCCCACGTTGTGTCATTCTGCCTTCTGTTTTCACACTTAGGTTGTTTATTCAGCATAATTTGTTCAAAATACACTGTCACATTGGTCTGTGAATATGACCGTTGCATATCTGCACATTGCCTGTTCAACCTCATGACCAACAGGCAGATCACATGTTAAATGACTTTGCTTTTCTAGTCTGCAGAGGCAACAGTAGACTTATCACTAGATGAACCAGCTGACTGTCTGTTTACAAGAGCAATAAGAGGAGCAGGAAAAGAGCACAACTATTCAAGATACTGAATGAGTTTATATTTAAGAGTCAGAGAAGTACAGGGACAGAAATACGTGCCACACGTTTAAACCACTACACTGGAGAGAAGCCATTGTGACTGGGCATAAGGGAAATGGATGAAAAGTCTTTGGATAAAAACATCAATGTATGTGCCTCCAAACCTAACATATCTCTCTCTCTCTGTGCATCGGTTTCCAATCATGTATGCCCTACCTGATCCTTATCAAAGTGTAGGTGACTCTCATAACTTAAGTTACTATCATCCTTAAACAAGTGCAAGTAGTTATTCACCGGCCAAGCCCTGCCACACAATGCACAGCAATGCAGCAGCCAGGTTCCTCTCGAAACTTGGTGTTGAGCAGCTTGAGCCAGTCGTCCACAATCTGGGTGGGAGGAGGGGCACCATCATCAAAGGGCCAGTCCTACAGGAGACCACAGCAGAGAAGAGTATTACACGGGGGGGCATACAATAAGAAAGGCTGACAGAAATGTGTGTGTGTGAGTCAACTCTTACCAGGACCTGTATCCCCTCCTTCTCTACTGGAGCTTTATCATATGTGGCATCACAAACTCTCACCAGCGTGTTCACTTCAAACTTTTTCAGCTCCTGGGAGACATCAAAAGAAAGCATTTGAGGTAGAGGGCTAAGAAATGGACACAGATACAAATAGACAGACAAGGGCATACCTCTGTGAACTTGTTAAGCGTTGCATTGGTGGGGTTGTGGGTGATGAGGAACCTCATGCACTCGTAGGCAATCTCGACTGCAGCGGGGCGGTTCATGTTGGCGAGACGGCTTAAAAAACAATTACAATACAATACTCTTACAAAACAAAAGCGACTTTTGGCTCAGAAGTCAGCAAAGACTGCTAGATTTGTGTATTCAGGAAATGGTAGAATAAATAAAAATGACAACACGTGGAGAAGGATGAGTCAGGAGGACAACAGGTGTTCAACTATGGGATGATGTACACAGAGAAGGGTAACAAAAAAGATAGGCTAGTCCACAGTACTCCGGGATGAGGAGACACTATCCAGGAGTCATCCAATCAGTTTACCCCATTCAGGAGAGCTGTTTGTGATTGGCTGTTCAAGGAGAAAGTGGAAAGCAAAGATTTTTCGTATTGTTGGGACTGAGCAGGGCAGTCGGACCAAGGACTACGCAATATCCCAAGGGCCTTCGGAAGAGTCAGCAGTTCCTATTGTGCTGGCAATCAGGGTGGTTTTTGGGTCGCGTAGTCCCTTGGGGGGCGGCCGATTCACTTCTCCACAGAGGTGAGGTGCTGTGCCTGGCAAAATTCTCCGCTCACACACGCCATATAGGTACGGCTCAAGTCAACACAGAAACCCTGTGGGGAAAGGAGAAAAAGCAGACTGAGATTATGTGATCATAATTTTCATCACATCTCATATACCTTGAGTTAAACAGTTCAGCTTTTTTATATATCTAAATCAGAATTTGAAGGAGTCTGGCTTTCTAACTGCTAGAGCCATTATTAATTGCATACTAACCAGTGTTTTAAGCTGTTGATTTCGTCTGCTAAAATGACAACTGTAAATTTACTAACTGTAATTCGTTAACATTAATTCTGTATGTAATATGTAAAGAAGAATTAATGGTAATTACATAAATGTGTGCATAAATATATAACTGATTGATTTGTATGTGAGCACAAAGCTATTGCCTCATTTTAGTTAGCTGTTTGATAGTTGTCAAGTAAATGGCAAAACAGCTGGTGAACAGACTTTTCTGAAATGTCAACTTTTAAAGCCATCATTAACACTTGCTTAAAAGAGCCATCAACAGTAGTGTGATCTCCTTGGCGAGCTAACAAAATGCTGCTACCAGCAATACCGTAATTATCAATGTCATGATTATATACAGGTGCATCTCAATAAATCAGAATATCGTGGAAAAGTCCATTTATTTCAGTAATTCAACTCAAATAGTGAAACTCGTGTATTATATAAATTCAGTACACACAGACTGAAGTAGTTTAAGCTGTTGGGTCTTTTAATTGTGATGATTTTG